CCCTGGAAGTGTTTAAGGCCAGGTTGGATGAGGCTTTGAGCAACCTGGTCTAGTGGAAGGTGTCCCTGCTGATGGCAGGGGGGTTGGAACTAGATGATCTTTAAGGTCCCTTCCAATCCAAACCATTCTATGATTCTATGAATTGCTGAGAGAGTTTGGATAGCGGCATAGTTGAAGATCAGGATCTGTGTTAGGGGCCCATCTGCACTGGGTTATATGATGGGGATGTGCTTGCATGCATCATGGGAATGGTTTCTTGTAAAGCTCCACCTCACAGTGCTTATGGTAATTGTTATACTTTGCTGGACAGAAAAGCGTTAAGATAAATTTGTGATCCCTGATGTTTAAAAATCATCAGTTACGTAGAAAAGCATTTTTTGAAATTATATGTATTATGTTCAATAAATTATGGATATGGATAAGGGATAAGGGAGTACAATTTTATTATTACAGTGGATGTTATAAATATGTAGATGCTAAATAACCTCAATTGTGTAGTTTATATTAATCTATAGAGGGTGGGGATTTTTTTTTTTTTTTTTTAAGATTTAAAAAAGGTTGAGGCTATTCTATTATGTTACTGTTGGTAGCTTTTTTTTTAAAATCTAGACTTTTGAAGGGCCTGTTAAACTTCTGAATTAATGAATTTTCTTTTGGAAATGAAATTGGTCTGCTTTTCAGGTTGAATAATGGAAGCATGGCTCTTATTGTTGTACAAAATACTTCTCGAACAGAGTTTGTAAAACACCTGAAAAGATACGCCAGTGTAAAAAATCAGGTACTGTTAATTTCTTTCTGGTGATTACAAAAAGAACAGTTAATCACGAAGGTAGACGTGATGCAAGAGTTAATGTTGTTAATGTTGGCATCCTCATAAGGAGACTTAGCTTCCTGTCAGAATACATTAGTGCCCTTTTTATCTTTTTTTTTTTTCTTTCTTTTTTTTAAGTCACTGGACTAATACCGATTAGCCTATTTCAGCCCATCTGTTGTGGTTTAAATTGTATTTGTCTTGTACCATAGTTTTATGGGTGGAAAGCCCTTTCACCACAATAAAGGAAATGTATGCCGTGTTTAAATTTCGTATAGTACAGAGATCAAAAACACAGATTGGGGGGCATCATGCAACTTTGTCAGAAATAGGTGAAGTCTATAATTTCAGCAGATCACTGCATGCTATGCTGATAGCAGTGGGTTATGTCCATTGATTTTTAGCATTCCATCTAGTTATGAATGCTTGCAACAGATTGGGGGGCATCATGCAACTTTGTCAGTTGAACTGCAGTTCAAAATTGTGGTCATTATTTTGTCTTTGAAGAGAAAAATGAAGCATCCAAACACAGTGCCCTATTGCTGTCCTAAATTCCCTAAACACACTGGTAGTCATTCAAGTGTTTTGGGATTATGTGAAAGCACTTTTACAATAGGTTTGAATTTGTCAACAGTCAGAGAGTTTGGGGGAGAGGTGGATGAGGATTCCATATTCCAGCACTAACAGCTGCGTTTAGGAAATAGTTTATTCTTTGTGGTTATACTTTTGGAGGAAGGCTATGATTTTCTCCCTGCATTTGTAGTTAGAAATTAGACAGGGAGATGTGGACCCTCCTTTAAACTTAAGATGACCGTTTACTAGAATTCTAACTAGCCTCATTTAGGAGAGGATAACTGGTAATGATGAACAGAGCACAGGAAAAAATGTGCTTGGACTTTCACATACTCTGAAAGCATGTGCCACTTTGGTGTGTGCAAAATATACCACCTCACCTGTAGATTAAGCAAGTCTGATATGGAAATGCAAATGGAACACTACCATTTTTCCTGAGGCATTATTTAGGATAAAAACTGCATGTTAATCTATAAATGCTAGCTGGAATGTATCATGCCTCATGTGGTCAAGCTTGAGTTAAGTGTTCCCATTTACTTAGGACAAAAAAAGGCAAAGTTTTTAATTTCAAGTAATCCAGTTTGTTGCTAAACTACCACCTATATCTTTCATCTTCATTTAATATATATCTGTGTTTGGTTTAGTTCAATTTTCCCTTTGTTGAGACCTACACAGTTCAAGAAGTGAAAGTGCAACCGAGTCTTAAAAGTGGACTTGATGCCAAAGAAAATACGTATTTGAATGCTGCTTCTGCAGAAGGAAATTACCCTTGGAATATAGATGGAGACTTAATGGAAGAAGCATCAGAAGTTCACATTCGGTAAGGTTAAGTATTACATTTATGGACTGTATACCTGTAACAGCAAGATTAACAATCTTAAATGTATTACATCTGTGTATACTACAGATGACACTAAAATTGGGTGTTGTGTCAATGCTATAATGCTGTGCACAGAACAGTCTGGCCCTTTTGCCATTGTTTGGGCCTCCACCCCGTTGCCTTGTGCCCGTCTTTGGAAAGGCCTGTTGTGACCCAGGTGGCTTTTCCTTTCTGGTGCTTCATCAGCTTCCAGCTCCACTTCTTTCTGCCTGTTACATTACCCTTCTCTTTCTTAGAGGAGAAGAGTTGTCTATAAAAAAAGGTCTGTGACTGGTGGGAAGGAGTTCCTTTTGGGATAAGGATTCCCGCTTGGAAAGCAGTGTGTGTAAGGCTAATAAACGAATGTAGTTGTTCAACTGTGGGAAATTTAGTGCTGCTTGAGAATAGTCTCCATGTCTAGGATCTAAGAAAGAGACTATGAATACACAGGGAAATAGGAGGATTATCAGTGGATTTAAATGGGTGGTGGCTCATTCTTCTGCAATGCACACGGGATTAGTTGAAGGCACAGAGCTCAGAGTAATTCTGGTATGTAAAATAAAAGGTAGAACATGTTATAGGATATATAATATATACTTCTAAAGATGATATTATGGGAATAGTAAAAATGTAATTCACCTGATTTTATTCCATATAGCAGTTCATATATATTTGCTCTCCCCCAACTCCCCAAAAAGTTACACACCCATTGCTAGAGTTAATTAAATTGATAGTTTACTTCCTCACCTTGCAGGGTGCATCCTCAACTTATTAATCTCTATGGAGTGGACACTGATGACCTGGAGAGTTCCCAAGCAACATGCAGTTGCATATAGAAGGGTCACACTGGAAGTTCTGTATTAAAGAATCCTTTTCTCACCTCTATGCACAGCTTTCCAAGGTTCCAGTCTTTCATTCACTGAATTCAGTTGTTGTAGCAGAAGCTTAACTGGGATGTTTGTAATATTTCTGGTTTAAAATTTTTATTAAGATATGTATTTTTTTCAGGTTGTATTTAACTATAAAGAAACTATTAGGCTTAACAAGAAAAAATGAAAACTGTTTATATTGGTCTTATAAATTTGGGGTTTGAGAAGTGTCCATCAGCATTGAAAGTATTGTTTTTTCTTTAACATTATTCTAGCTTTTGCAATAAATATAGTATGAGATACTTTTATGACTGCTGCTGCTGCTATCCATGTTGTCAGGTAACTCAGTTCAAACAGAGCTGGTGAGTGGAGGTATGGTACCACCTCATGCTGAAGAATGGTGGCAAAATATAGATTTATTTTTTCAGTCAAGTACTTCAATTTCTAGTTATAATTTTTAATGTTGCCTTAATGCATTTGCTTTCAAGTCCTTTCTAGTCAAACAGTAACACAAAAGAATATGCTGATGTCTTACATGGCTTTTCTTTGTTAAAATGTGTTTTAAAGACTATTCTTTGTACAAAATAAATATTTAAAAATATTTTATCTATCCTAGAACTGAAAAGATATTCAGTGTAGTTTTTGTTGTTGCTGAGAATAAAGTTAGGATAAATAACTTAGAGTTGACTTAAATTTTTATAACTTCCTTATAGGACATAAACGTAAAAATAACTTTTGAATGCTTTTGTTTTGGTTTGGTTTTTTTGTAGCTTGTTAAATATTTAATACAATTATTTGAGATGACAGCAAATTAAGATTCTATTGTTTCTGGGAACTGGCTTTCTCTGAGATGATAAAAAGTAGCAGACTAAGAAGTCTGCTTGCCTGCAGGACCACAGGGACAATGTTCCTGTTCACTTGCCTCTGAATTGTTCAGAAGGTGGCTGACAAACAATGGTATGAAGACTGCATTGTCGTGTGGCTAGAATGACTTGCTTTAACTTCTTTCTTCAGTAAGCAGTTGAGTATAACATGAAATCCAGTCCTTTCAGAATTTGTTAAACCAAGGCCCTAAGCCTTTACATGGGATATATAACTACTGTATTTTATTTGAATTTAAATGTTACTTGTGAAAAGTTTCTACCTGTGATAAATACACAAGACAAAGAAGAAGTACTGCAGCTAACGTACTGCCGATGATTATTTGTCTCTCAAAACAAGCTGTTACTTGTTGGAAATCTCATACAGTTTCTGCAGGTAAACCTGGCCACTAGTAGAGGCCAAATTCATGGACAATCAAATGCCTGCTTCATAGGCAACTAATTATTACAGGAATCTTACAGCTAGTCTGCTCTTTGCACTGGATTGAGTGGCTGCAGAGTAGGGTCAGAGTCACAGCATCCTTTGGGCTGGATGGGCCCCGGCAGGGCTCTAGCCCAGCCTTCTGCTCAGAGCAGGTCCATCTATGAAATCAGATCTGGTCGCTCAGGGCTTCATCCAATCCTGCCTTGAAACCTCCATGGATGGAGATGACACAACCTCTCTGCACCCCTGTTCCAAGGCCTGGCCATTGTCATGAAGAAAATGTTTTTCCTCGTGTCCAGTTGGAACCTCTCATTTCATTTTATACCTGTTGTCTGAGTCACAGTGGGTAGTCTCCAGTTAAAGTACTACAATTGATACTATAACACATCAAATATTTTTAACATGTTAAGACAATTCAAACTAAATTTCCTAAAGTTGCCTAAGAAGGAGATTCCAGCTTCATTTAGTAGATTTAACTTTTTATTACATAACTGAAGATTAACAAAATAACTAAACTTGCAGAAGAAACAGCATTCATGTGCTTAACTTGGGTGTTTTTTTAACAGAATGGAACTGTGCTACTTTATAACCTTGCCACCATCAGGACATTGTACACTCATTTTTTTGTCAACCTACTTTATAAAAGCTAATTGAATTTTGCTTCATATCCTAAGAACAGGCAGCCAACATTTACATGTTAATAACAAAATCTGAATAGAAAGTATACAAATTCCAAGGCAACTTTATCACATGTACTGACTTGTGTAAACTATTTCAAAGATAAATAAAATGCTTTAGTTTCACTTCTTTGCATTGTTTGTACTAAAAAGAATGTTAATGCTTCTTCCAGTATTTGAGGTATATTTTTCACAAAATGCTGTAATAGCAAACTGATTTACACTGAAAGATATTTTGGTTAAAGTGCAAAAATTCACTAAAGCAATTTGGAAGATAAGCATTTTGTGTATATTTTCACAGACTTGCAAGAAAATATTTCATTCTTCACATACTATAATTTCCTGTTTTTAAAAAAATATATGCACATTCATTTGTCCTTACACTGCAGAAGATTTTAGAGAGAAAACTTTAGAGTGATCCGCATCTTTGGCATCAAATGAAGTGAAAGGAAATTACAAAATGGTCCCAAATACCTTTAGAATCAGTGGACAATGTGGCTTTTATGGAACCAGACACTCCGTTAGCAAAAGTGCTTGCTGAAGGCACTCTGCTTCACTTTTGAGTCTCAGGCTAATTCCCGTATGCCGGTGCAGCTTCGAAGTGTATGTACATATTACATTCATTTCTCCTTGCAGTTCAGAAAGACATGAAAGATGTGGCAAGAAAGGCCATATTGTGTACTGCTGGAGCAAGAAATTCAGCTGTTGAAGAAGCCGTACATTCTCCAGTTGCACTGGGGAGCAAAGCAACCTGGTTTTTTGGTTGGGTTTTTTTTTTTTCTTTCCCCTGGCTTGTACTATTTCACCAAAGCTAGATGGCACTGCAAACTTACAGAGCTGAAGAAACTTCCTGTAGGAGCAAAGCTGTGGTTTGAACCATGTTTCTATTCAGTCATTTGCCTCTCTGCTGAGTGGCTTCTGAGGATGCCTGTTTGGATGACTTCCTTTTTAACTACGTCCAGGTAAAGGGTGGCACATCTAAAGATAAGGTTTGGCCTAGTAAGGTGGGCATTTGGAGTCTTCTGGGTAGGTGTTTCTGTTTTGACATCATATGAAGGGTTTTTGTTTTCTTTTTGTTTTTCCCAGGTCCTGGAAGAATACCAGTAGTACCTACTACTATGCTAAGTACTATAGAAAAATCTTCAAATAAATAAAAATAAATACTTGCTTTAAAAAAAAAACCTCACATAGAAATATTTCATTGGAGGAGTCCAAAACATCATGGCACCAATACCTGAGGAAAGGATGAAACAACTAATTCTGCTATGCTTGCAAGTACCATGTTAAAGACTGCTATGAATTATGATCTCCAACAGATGACTCTTTCCATAGCTGAGAGAGGATTCTGTGGTGCAGCTCCAGGCGACGCCACAGAACTTCCTGCTCTGAATCCACCTCTGACATTCCTGGTTCTAGTTTCCCTGGGTGTCTGTGTCTGCAGTACTGTGGCTGTGCCTGTGAAACCAAAGCTTACTAGATTACCTTCAGAAGCCCAAGAGAGCTTCTAATAGCTGTTTTCTACATCTGCACTCTACTTATGGTCCTCCTATTGGTTTAAGCTAATTTACCCTTCTAAAACTGACAAAGCAAGATGAGGGAGGATTTCTTCTTGAATGTCTAACAAAAAGATAATTGAAACTTGAAAATGAAGAGATTAACTCATGCTAATGTGTTTGAGATCTTGTTTTCCAGGATTGGCCAAACATTATTACTTTCTAGAAATTCTTCTTTCCGGTAAGTAATTCTTCTTCTCTTTATCTTTAGTGTTCTTCTGTCTGTTTGAAACCAGATATATATATATCAAAAACTGTTTTACCATTTTCATATTAGAAAAATAACAGTACTCTAAGGTGTAGTCCTCTACACAGTTCAAGGAAAAAAAAATGTATTTTTTAAGAGCAAGTGACCTCAAGACCAGTTTCCTTGTCACTGATGTTTCTCCTGTGAATTAACCTGAATCTTAAATTCTTCATTTTAAAATCAAATGTTTATTTGCCATCTTAGTCATCTTTGTTCCCACTTGTAAAACTCCAGCTGTCTCTTCTGTTCTTGTCTTGAGGGACTGGTTTGTATTGCCTTTTGAAAAAGCCAATCTGAAATACATAATTTTGGAATCTGTTGTCAGCAAATCTAAACCATCAAACATGAATTAAAATAAAATGAACATATATGGTGTTTAGGAACAATGGTATTTGCCATTGCTTTGTCATACCACACAATCGAGTGTTACCCATCAATCAAAAAAGCGGGTTTGCTTTTTCTTTTAGTTTTTGGGAGGCTAATACTCTCCTGCAATGAGTAAGAATGTGGGCTTGTGAATTGTAACAGTCCACAGAATGTAGTGATTTTTTAAATGTGAAATGGTAATAAAACTCTCCTGTTAGATTTGGTTAATTTCTACACTTCTCTGGGAAAAAACAAGGATGAAGAAAGTCAGCATGTAGGTAAAGAAGTTAACAATCTCTTAACTGCTTGTCAGAGAAGCTTCATCCTTCATAGTTTTCTTTTTCAATTATGCACAGGATTTTTTTAGCACTTACATTGCAGTTTGAAGTCTTAAACATTTTATTCTGGCATGAAACCATGTTGTAGACTATTAGTCATCATGTGCCAAGTGACATTAAATGTGGAACATCATCCCACAAAAATTATCCATTTGATATCACTAAATTACATAAATCATTTGCAAACCAGAGATGCCATATAAAACAAGGGAAGGGGTTTGTAGTGTTGAATAACAGATGATGTAGAACACTCAGAATATAAAATGAAGGAAAATGGAGAAGGATTTTGAAAAAATACAAGTTACAGGAGGAATTATTTTTCTTTAGAAAGGACAGATCACAATAAAATATTATTTATCCTTTAGCTTGCATTAACAGATCCAAAGACCCACCAACAGTGTGAATTCTTGACTTGAGAGCATCAGAGAAATACTGAAAACTTACCTTCCATAATATAAATGAAAGAAGCAAAAACAAGGTAACACCAACTATTAAGCCTATTCCAATAATGAGTACAGTAACACGGTATTTTGGCTTTTGGTGATGCACTCCTTCTAAATAGACCTGGAAAGCAGAAAGGAAGTTTAGTGCTGATTATTTTCTTTTCCCTAAAAGATACTAAAACAAACTAGGAAAATTAATTACATTCTTAAGTAATTAACTATTAAGTATGTATTAATACATATAGAATTCTGCAAGTTTATCACAAATTCATTAAGAGAATTCTTACATATGTGACTTGCTTGTCCTTGTGTAGTTCAATAACTTTTGCATTTTTTTCTGGTGAGGCTGTTGCTCTTACTTCAAACTTCAGTGCTGATGCATCATCCTGATTTAAAAAAAAAAAAAATAAAATCTGATCTTTTAAAAAATAGCTTCAACACATTAATTCCTACCCAGCAAAAATGGTAACACAGCTGCTCACAGAAACAGAATCTCACAGAAACACACAATGGTGCCTTTTTCTGATCACAAAACAAATTAGTACCAGAAGCTGGAATGAAGCCCAGTTGGATTTTACTTAAGTCCATGTTCATGCTGCTTTTCTTAGAAAAGTACAATTATGAGTTGAAATTAAATCCCAATCCCACATAACCCAGCCAGAACAGGCAAAACAATACATACTATAAAATAGATAATATAAAATACATATTTTTCAGTGGTTTTCATTTTTCATTTATCACCTTGAGATTTAACACTGAAAACACAAAACAGTTTAACACCTGAAAGATTGGGATCTAATCATACTGCTTGCAAAAATATATTAATACCTAGAATTTATATGCAGAGAATACTGCAAATATGCCTTGAAATATTCCCCTCAAGTATGAAAAATTAATGTATTACCATTTCTAAAAGTGAAGGAGTAGCCTCCAGATGCAACTGAATGGTTGCTTCTTTTCCACTTTCCATGTTTCCAAGCTTGCAATGTATTTGTAAGCAAAGGCTGTCATTTTTCATGCAGTACTGTAGAAAGGAGGGAAATATTAAAACTTAAGTTTATCAACATTATCATCTGAGTATTAAAGACACTCAGGAACCAAGTAAAACAAAAAGATTCATGTTTTTCTGAGTAAAACAAAAAGATCCATGTTTGTTCTTGAAAGGTCAGGGTGTAACTCTAGGTTGTCATCAATCACTGGCAATCCACAGGTGCTGAAGGAACAATACAAGGGACCAACCCAATTGTTAAAGAAGACAACAAGAAATTTTTCTTAAAAATTCACATTTTTTTAGACAGGAAAATGACAATTGTCATAATTTGGTTATATGTTGTGGGGGTTTTTTTGGTTTGTTTTTTCAAATTAGTTTTTATCAAGAATGATAAATGGCAATGACTATATGATATCCAGTATAAACAGTATAACTGATCAATCCTTACACTCGTATGCTGGCAGCTAGCACCATTTCACTCAACTTTGGAGAAGACAAAAAGGCAAGCCTGTTCATGAGCATATTCTTTGTCCAAGAGTTCAGTGCCTAAGTTCTGATTTGATATAGTGCAGGATGTCTCTCTATCACTGGTTGGTGTTCCTTGTAACATGCTTACTTAAAGTCCCAAATTAACAGATTTTAAAGTGCCCAGCTTCTTTTTTTTTAAGATAAAAGTATTAAACAAAATTGCACTTTATCAAACACAAGTTGCAGGACACAGAGAGTTCTATGAGAATAAGCCCTCAAAAATGTAACACCAGAATAACAATTCCGGTCTGGACTACACAGTCAAGTATCTGATCTCCAGCAAAGCCCATAAGCAGGTACAGAGGGATGAGCTTGAACAGGGCAGGCATATGAGATAGTCTCCCTGCCTCCCAAATATTTTTAATGAGAACTTCCTGAGTCAAAAATGATTTCTATATATTTTGTAATTCTTAATGACTTTTGGTCCCATTAACTTGTATAGTCTCCCTTGGAATTAACTTATTTTTAGCATTCATAACACTCTTCAGTAAGAAGTTCTACCATGAGTACTGCTTTTGTTGTGGTTTTTTTTGAACCTGGCTCCAATTAGTTACATTTTTGATGTGGAAAAGGCAATAAATATTTGATCTGCATACTTCATGTAATTAAAATTAAGACTGTTTTTCCCACATGCATAATTTTTGATTTGTTACTGAATTTCTCCTGCCATTCTGTTTGCCCACTCATTCAGTTACATAACCCTTCAGCAGTTCTTTGTAGGTGACTGTCATCCACACTGACTTCAGTGACGTGTCATTAATCAACTTTCTCATCTCAGTTCTCACCTCTTTCACTAAAGTCACTGATGATTATGCTGAACGTATCACAGGTCTCACCACAAATCCTTGGAGGACTGTTCTGGTGACCTCATTATATAAGATATACTGGTCTTAAGGCTCGTTCGTACAGTCATTTATTTCCCACTGATGGCAAAAGACAGGCCTTACCATTTTTCTCTTAGCAGGCTTTGAAAAGAAAGTGACAACGTCCTTTATTATGTTTTCATTTTTTTCTGCTGTACTACAGTTTCTGGGATATTTGTTATAGAAGCACTGTCCAGCTGTTGTCTGGAAATAAAAATAACAACATCACTGTTAGAATTTAAACATGAGATAATAATCAGAATACAGATTTCTGAAAGGCAAGAAACTCAAAAGGAATGTAACTTCTACTTTCAGAATTCTAAAACACATGGGGCTGAAGATCGTCCTATTCTTGTTCACTCTGCTTCACCATAGCTAACAAACTTGTGTGCTTCTGTGTACACTGAGTCACACAGAAGAAAGGGATTTGAGGTTTCTGTGCCCATTTGAGTCAACTACGATAGGCATATTTAGACATACTGTAGACAAAAGGAATCTCTTACACTCTATTGTAGCTGATTCTTATGAATATTAATGTTCTACAAAGGAAAGACTGTATATTATATATTCTGCAGAACAATGAATGCTCTGTTTGATATGAAAATTAAGACTGATGGACTGGACTCTTTAAAAAGGTACTCAATGCAGAAATTCTTTGATTTAATACACTATTCTGCTACTTAATAGCAGGAAAGAATTAACAAACACAAATACAGATGCATGCCAAGGATCAAGCTTTGCACAGATGGATTCACTGAATTCAACGGGATTCTAGTAAGGACCTAAGGTATTAGGTATCTTTAAAGGAATCGGATAGAAATTGAACACATACTTAGTACCTAGTTCTGTGATGCTTTGCTTCTCTTTCTCATAGAATTCATATAGCTAATAAAATTATATTAGGTAACCTGTGCTTACCTTGATATCCAATGTGTTGAATAATTTGAAGTCATTGGGTGGAAAAGCATTAGGTATCATTATCTCCAAGTTCGTATTTGGAGCCATGCTTGGTCCTGCATTGATAACCTTGTGGGGAAGAATGTGATACATTTTATTCAAGTAACAGAAAAAAAAAATATATATATCAAGTATAAGTACCTAAAACTTCAGAATGGGGTAGCACCGGCACCATTATGCTGTCATGAAAGTGGATTCTGCTAGCTGTAACATTTTGCTTAATTAATTCTGCAGGCTTACTGAACCCTTCACTTCTCTGAACCCAGTGAGTAAGTAGTGCTAATCTGGGATGACTACCCTGAGGTCATACAAACTGCCTTCCGGGAGAACATGCAGGACAGATTAATGTCTAACTCCTGCTTTTAATGCACTGGAGATAAATCTCATACCTATAGATCCCTTTATAAGGAGCTCCTAGTTTATTTTGCTTACTGTAAGATAATTCCTTTTAAAGTGTTTCTTAATGGAAGAAGTGGCAAGTCAGAACTGCTCTGCCACTTTTCAGTCCTGCTTGTGCTAAGTATTTCTCCTTAGACCATTCAGTGGAAGATTGTCCAGGCAAAAAAAAAATCACTAATACACCACGCCCTTGTAAAGTTTCCTTATTGACTGTGCAGGCTGTCGTTACAAACACTGGAAATCTAAGCATTCACCTTCAAAATAAGGATAATAGAGTTTACAAAGAAAAACACTTACATGGAAAGTGAAGTTGATACTCTCTTTCATACATGTAACTGGTGAATCTTTCTCATTTGTTCCATAAACAAACGAAGCTGGTGATACAAATCTACAATGGTTTAGAAGTTGTTAATTAATAGAATTGCTATATATCATTAGCATAACTTTGTGCTCCATGTAAGAAGACTGGTTCTAAGAAAATACCCGAGTTTGCATTTAAGTAGATCTAGGAACACTGAGTAGAAGTCCTCTGCCTCTGTACTCTTTCCTCATAAAAAGGCAGAGGAATCAGAAAAAGTCGTAAATCCTCACCCAAGACTATGCTCCATGAATGCCCCACAACAAACCCAGACTATGGCCCATGTTAACCAAGGAATCTGAGGATCTGCTGTGCTCTTATTAAATACTTCTTTCTGTTAAAAATATTCCAGTTCTTTAAAAATATATTAGTCTGTTAAGAGACGAGTTCGAAGCACTGTAGATACCACTGGTCTCATCTCACAGTAGCAGAAACAAGATCTTAGAAGTGTTTGGGTCAGACCCCAGGATAGCTGTGCCATCTTATTCCCAGGATTTTTCAGCTACATCACATTCTGCTCAAAAGCTTTGGGAATTTAGAATAACAAGACAACAATTATATGTATGTGCAGGTGTAACAACAGCTGACTTACCCATGAGCATTTAACTCAATCTCATATTTTAGAGGTACAGATAAAGTTAGCGTGTTATCCAGCAACATGTTCCCATCTTCATTTTTACTACAAAAACACAATGAGAGAAAAATTAGTATCAAATGCATCATCGTATGATATACATTATTTCTATAAACAACTATTAAACAGAACTTTTGGCTTATTAAAACAAAAATATTTTATTGGTAACAACATGTCAGCAGTAAAAAAAAAGAACATTTTATACAGGCAGAAACCTGCTCATTATTTAAATAGCTTCTGGGGTCTTCTGTAATTTCCCTTTCTCTACAGATTTACAATGGATATGCCTTCTTGCAGTTGTGCTTTGTTAAGTCTTTCCAGTGTTCCCTATTCTGTTTTTCAAACATCATAGTATTTTTGCATTGAACAATTTTTATTAGACTTTACCAGGTAGCATTAACGATGATGTTAAGGTCAACTTCTGCTCTGGTAAATGAGCTTGCATCCAAAAGGAAACTAAAATCCAGCTGTAAAACAAGTAAAATGTTCTTTATATCAAATGATAGTATGTCTTAACACAGTTGAAATTGACATATTTTGTTAAACTAATTCAGAATTTCCTCCTCTAAAAAAACTCAGAGCTAAGAAAATACTTGCTTTTTGTGTCTTCTGCTCCCTGTCTATTGACCTAACACATTTATTCATACCCTTAGTCAGCTCACTGTCTAGGAAGCCAAGTACTATCAGTTAATGCATAATACAAACAATGTTTTCTCTTAACTAATGATTCCTGAGAATGTCTCAGCAACTAATTTTAAAAGTAGCAGAGAGATTCAGATACCAACATGATGAAAGGCATTAGTTGGGAATGAAAGAGAGATTCTGTAAAACAAGGTGTTTTTCCCTGGAAAATCCTCATAACATCTCTAGGGTCTTTTTAAAGCTAAGAACTTTATACATAGCTTACCTTTGATTTTTGATCTACATATAAATAACCAACGCTGCACTCAAGTTTCACTGCATGAATTTCTTTATCTAATACTTCACAATATATCTGTTTTTCTTCCTAAAATAAAGGGCAAATTATTAATAATTAAAATAAAACTGCTTTTTTCAGACATTTCAAATTACAGGCAGACACTGAAGGTGGGTGGTTTATATTACCCTGAACTAGGTGTTTGTTATTTCACTGATGCAAATGTACAGAATATTATTCATGGATACTCTAACATATCCTTATGCTGATTACTGTATCCTGTTACTCCATCCTCTGTTTGCTAATAGTGAAGCTAAGGTGTAGGCATCAGACCCGAACCCACTCAAGCTTAAACCAAACTCTGAAAGGTGTTGGGGATTCTACAGGTAGAAAGAGAGAACAATTATATTTGTGACTCCTTCATAAAACTACGCATCTGTGGAAAAGAGCAGATTCTATGAGATCTTTGTGATCACTGAAAACATGACCATCAGACAAAAAATAGCAGTAACATCCTGAAATACATTTAAAAACCAATTCTTTTTTAATTTTAGTTGTTACCGCCACATCCTGTTATTGAAATGATTTGTCACCTGTACTGATTAAATAGCACGTGGTTTAGGTAGCTAGAAGTCTGAGAACTTAAAAACTGGAGTTTTGTCAGCTTTTTTGGTATCTAAGGAAACTCAACAATCTCCTAACACAATCTGAAAAATGTCTGGCTGAAAAAGACAAATATCAAAGGATTACTGTTTGACAGATTTTTTTGTTGTTGTTGTTCTTACCAATTCTAAAACTCGGATGAAATAAAGCCCTTTAGGGATTTGAACATGGAGGACAGTTTCATATGCATCATCTCCAACATTGAGCAGAGAAATGTTCAACAATAAAGTCTTCATACTTCCAACAGCAAGATACATTTTCTTATCATGATGCCTATAAAAACAGTTATAAGTGAAAAGTAATTCTATATATAGCTTGTATGCAAAAATTTTCTGCCACTGCTATTTATTTAATTTCATTTGGTTCTGACAAAGCTCAGCTGGAGATCATTAGGGAAGTTGTTACTCAGTCCTATAACTGAAGGTACCACACCAGTTATATGATGGGCTGGTGCTCCTTAATGTCTTCATCAATGACTTGGATATAGGGCTTGAAGGACTGCTAACTAAGTTTGCCAATGACACCAGATTGTGAGGTCTTGTGGACACTCCCGAGGCAGAGAGGCCCTGCAGAGAGATCTAGATAAACTAGAGAGCTGGGCACCAGCTGTATGAATTTTAACAAGGGCAAGCGGTGGATTTTGCACCCAGAACACAGCAGCCCTGGACACACATACAGACTAGGGAATGAGAGGCTGGAGAGCAGCCCTGCAGAGAGGGACCTGGGGGTTCTGGTCAATGGCAAGTTGAACATGAGCCAACAGTGTGTCCTGGCAGCCAAGAGGGCCAACTGTGTCCTGGGGTGCATCAAGCACTGCATTGCGAGCCAGTCGAGGGAGGTGATCGTCCTGCTCTGCTCTGCACTGGTGCAGCCTCACCTTGAGTACTGGGGGCAGTTTTGGGTGCCACGGTATAAAAACAATATAAAGCTACTGGAGAGTGTCCAGAGGAGGCCACTAAACTGGTGAAGGGCTTAGAGAGGAAGCTGTATGAGGAGAGGCTGAAGTCTGGAGAAGAGGAGACTGAGAGGAGATCTCATTGTAGTCTATAACGTCCTCACAAGGGGAAGAGGAGGGGTGGGTCCCGATCTCTTCTCTCTGGTGACCAATGATAGGACCAGGGGAAATAGCAGGAAGATGTGCCAGAGCAAGTTTAGTTCAGATATTAGGAAAAGGTTTTTCACCCAGAGGGTGGTGGAGCACTGGAACAGGCTCCTCAGGGAGGTGGTCATGGCACCAAGCCTGACAACATTCAAGAAGCATTTTGACAACACCCTCAGACACATGGTCTGAATCTTGGGATTGATCTATGCTAGGGCAAGAGTTGGACTCTATGATCCCTTTCAACTCACAACATTCTATGATTCTGTAAGTTATTCATGCGAGAGCAAGAAAACTGTGATCAGACCAGTCGTGCTTCTGGTTTTTAAAAGATAGGTCCTTTCCTTTACAGATGAGAACAGCAATGTGCTACTGGTACAGTATTTTCAGACATTATTTTAAAATTCTCTCTTTGTACACAAAGCATAGGACTGAGTTAATATGAAAAAGGTCACAAAGAGGGCAAGTGAACATGCCTGTCTTATGATCTATGTAATGTTCTATAATCATGTTACAAGTACAGACACCCAATGGGGGGCTAAAAGTAAACTTCAGCTTGACATTAAAGTTTAATTAAGACTTGTAGAAAGGCTGCCTAGAAACAGACATTTATCAGATATTCTGGCTTGAAACCAAAGCATTAGTCACTGAACACCTTTGGGAAAGAAGCTGGCACTTAGAAAAGCAACAGAAGGTAAAAGCACTGCATAAACAGAGAGGTTCCAAGACAAAAGCAAATTAAAGAAAAACACAATGTTAACATTTCAGTACCTTGATGAAGTTTAGGTTCAATTTTAAAGTTGTTTTACTACTTACATGCTTACCATTCAGTTCTCTCATATGCATTAAAGCCCAGCTCATTATCAAGACGCTGTCACAAAGATGCCTCCCAGCTTAACACACAAGTACACAAAAGCACCAGGTGCACAACTGGGACTACAACAAAGCTGAACTAGAGCTTTTCCCTGGTAATCATATTTCATTCTTCATTAAAAAATGCATGATGCAAACTAGCAATGTACCAGGCAGTCCAAAATCTAAGCAATTTAAACAAAACATGATAGTGTATACATGAAGACTCATCACTCAGTAAGTAAAGTGTTACATTAACACCCCTATTTCATTTCATTCTTTTAAGACTAAAAGTGTTTGCTTTGCTGTTCAAGGATAATGAATGCATTCTGTCTAGACAAAATAAATTAACGCTTCACAGCTAACTAGTTTTTAATCGAGATTCTAGGGGCACAATGTAATTTAAGGTGATACTTCACACTTTATCAAGATATTTAGCCTATTTACACTGAAAATCTGCTACTGGTACCTAATGGCAAGCAGTTACATTGTAATCTGTTTTCCTTTCTCAGAGCTTTGAAATACTTACAAAACTGCATTGCTAATGTCACGAATGGAAATGCTGCACAATCTATCTTTCTGAAAAGTTTGTGATCTTTCAAATAAAATAAGCTTCAAGCCTAAGAAAATGAGAGAACTTAAGACTCATGCTACAGGCCACACGTTAAAGCAGGCAGAAAAATACTAATCTTACTCTGAAATCCATGAAGCTGAAAAAACTTGTTCTTAGTGTAGGGATTAAACCTCACATAATACTCAACAATCTGGTGTTTCAATCAGCAGTATAAAACTGAAGATGCAATATTCTTAGGTAAATGAGGAAAAAGAGCCACTTAATTATTTTATAATTGAAATAATAAATAGAAAAATGTCTTAGTACCAAACAGAAGTATCTTCCTTGTACAGTGGAAGTACAGTATCTTCGTAACAGCAGCAGAAATAATGGCTAGCTTGTCAGTAGTTACGATGCCAACATACTGAGTATGCATTGTGCACTCTATTTTAGGCCAGTTATATATGAAGTGTAGAATACAAGTTTACCTTTTGTGAAGAAGATATATTTTATGAGCTGTAAAGTCTTCAATTATATACATTTCTGTTACATTTCCTGGAAGATTTAAGATTTAAAAATAATCTTCAACTAAACACAGCTTTATTCCTCAAGTTTTCTCAGGGAGTCCATAGTCTACTTTTGCAAACTAATGTTCTTTACATACAAGAGATTAAGGAATAATTTAAATAAAAAATTATTTAACCTCTTTTTTTAAAAAGAAATGAAAGCCACATTATACTTACTTTGGAAAAGCAACTTTTCCTGAAACTCTCAAGTCAGCTGAACAGTTTTCTTGGGAGCAAAATCTTGCAAAAACAAACTATAAAAGACAAAAAAAAAAAAAAAAAAAAAAAAGCACTTTAGTGTGTTACCCAAATTATAGTAAGTAAAAGTATTTCCAAAAAAAGAAACTTATCACCTTGTTATGAAGGTTCTGGAATTGGCTAATAGCTCTTGCTCCTAAATCCAGTGCAATCAGGCTATGATTTGCCAGGTTCCAAACACATTCTGCCCACCCAGAACAACAACAGAGAGGCTTTCTAGACTCTGTCTCTCCCAGTTAAATCAGTGCACATATGTTCAGCAGATTTTTTAAAAGTAGCACATAAAAAGTGCAGAGTGTTTTAGAAGATCCAGAACTGAGGCCTCTGCAGTCTCTCTTATGATACAGCACATTAACAGCAAGAGAGCAAGCATTACAGCTCTGCAGTCTCTCTTATGATACAGCACATTACATCAAGAGAGTTTCCTTACACAAACTTTACTTATCATACTGTTAGTAAGGTCTGATGAGACTAGAGACACTATGAGTTGCACGTGTCCGTGCGCTGGTTATCAGTATGCTACAGAACACGTTTATGTCACTACATTCAACAACATTCTCTTTCTCTCTAACTCTGTTGTTTCTAAAGAAACATTTTGCATGAAGATGAAAAGGAAAAGCATGCCATTTAAAAGAAGCTGTTATTTAACTCCGAGCTCTGACAGTCCACTGTATCTGAATTACATGAAGCTTACTGTTTGTGAAAAGGCATAATATTTTATGACCATTTGGTAGTTAAAAATTCAGAGCATCCTGATTTTTGCTTAAGTCAAAGTCTATTAACTCTTAATAAGGTTTTTATTTTTTTTGAAAAAAGTTAATTTCATACTCATTTAAGGATACGGAATACACTTTTTTTTCCCCACAGACTTTGTGTTTGAAAAACTACAATACCTTCATAGAAGTAATATTTCAGCAACCTCATTCAAATGCTTCAATATGAGTATCAACACGATATTGTGTATTTAACACAGAATTAATTTTAAAGAATAATTTTTTACTGGAAAGTGACTCATATCGTATAGTTGAACAAATATTTCAAAGAGTGAATTTCATACCTGTGTGTTCTGAGATATATAATATTTTATATTCTTACAAGTTCTCTGCACATGCCTCATTTAAAAAAAAACCCCAAAACATAATACAAATGGTATACCAGTTCTGCAAAGACTTTTTTTTTTTTTTTAGTGAAACATTAGGCATTTTTTAGCATCCTGGTTTATTAAGATCAAGGCACTAGGTGCTGGTCTGGAAAATGCATTCCTTCACATGCTATGGATGTGTGAAGCTTTTTTTAACTGAAGATTAAAACATGAATATTTAGTTACTGCATTTGAAAAAAAGGAACTTGTACACTAACCTTGCTTTTTATAACATCTTTTTCTTTCCTCCGTTGAAGAACGGGTTGTAGTGGTGAAAATTCTTGAGCATTTCTTTTCTGTAGAATATGATGCCCCAGATGATAACTTGCTTCAACATGTACAGGAGTCAAGATATCCCTTACATCTTTCTATGAAAATTGGAAACCTAATGAGTTAATCATATAAAACAAGACATGTGTGCTTATGTTTTAAAGATTATAAGGCTCCCTAGAACTAACTTTAACAGGAACACTTATTTTTTTACATGTAAAATAATTTCATATGCCATATGGCTCATATACTTTTCCAGACATCTTTGTCACTGAAAGAGGCAATCAGAAATGCAGAAAAACATAATACATTCGATGACAGCATCAGGCATTTCAGAATGGAAGATTCTTTTATTAAAATAAGTCTTATTGAATAGTGAACCTATTTCTGTCAATAATACTGCCTTACACAGCTATGAAATGCTGTACTGCCCAAACAGGAAAATAGGCAAAAGTTGGCTAAAATGAAGAAAGTTCACCAGTGGGATAATACAGACAAAACCCATGGGTATTTCTTCATGAAACAAAAGGGGTTCTCCCACAGTGCCACTAAATCAGGTCATGACTGCATTTTATTTTTCTGCCTCTTTATTTCCTATTCCGTATTAAAATGATTAAATTCCTCAGTAAAGGACCATTTTGTACAGGAAGCCTTGACTGTGTAGCAATGTTGCAGATCAAAGCCCAAACTACCTACTTGTGAAAACTGAACAGCTTGAAGCACTGGGTACTAACAATAGCAAACCTAACTAAATTGTTCCCTAAGTGTAGGGGATAGACAGACACTGATTGTCCCTCCACATGGCCACTACTTTAATTCTTATCTGCAAGCTCACTTTGGCCAAATCACATATTATCTAATTCAGAATAAATTTCCACAAGGTCTTCTCTGCATCTGCTTTATATTATACTAATGAGCTATTAATTAGTCTTTACTCAAAATACATAAAACGTACAAGTCTCTTGCAAGGACTGTACTTGACAGACATTCACACTTACTTAACTTTAGGAGCTTCATGAAAGTATAGAAACCTCAGTGGGTGGAAGGAGATGCTTATAATACTATTAATTAAGAATTAAAAAGCAAATTGAATTATATGGAGGATAAAACACTAATAATAGACTATAGGAAGTGATGCGCCAAGTCATATCCTTCCTCCTACACAAAAACCTGCTGATGCTGGTACAGCAATCTGTACAAGGTCGGCTGTCAGACACATCTCTCTTAGCTTACAAAACTCTTACAAGTAAGTGGCAATGTGCCATTGCTCCTGTAAGTAACATTCACTTAGGTGTGACTACCAGTTGAGATGCATCTGGGCCATTTTCCAATAGATAACATAAGCTTTCCTTTCTACCCTGAAGCTTTATTGTGAAGAATTGGCTTCTAATGGTGTCATAAACAAAAAACAAACAAACAAAAAAAAGTAAAAGGAAGAAGAAAAATAATTGGGAGACTTTTTTCCTGCAGGTTTTTTTGTAGCTGTAGAAAATTAGAGTCTATTTCCCAGCCTCTGTGCAGGATCGACTGCACCAGTCATCCTAATAGATGTCTGTTTCAAAAGGCCACAGAATTCCTACCTTGAGGATTTTAAAGAAAGCCTAGGCAAACTAGTCCACTGTTTCACTGTCCGCGTTCCCCCTTACATCTAAATATTCCCTGTCCCTAGTATTTCTTTAAAGAACTATTTTCCTCCTTAGATAAGGAATTGCAGGAGATAAGTCTATTTTTTCTGAGTTTAATAAAACATGGTTCCTCTGTGTCCACTAGTTTTTATTGTTTGATGGTGGTTTAGGACTTCAAGTTCTTCCCATTGATTCTCCAAAATTTTTGTTGGAACAGGCAAGTTCATAAGATGTCTGATAGACTGAATCACTTTTGTTCCTTCTTATCCAGTGAATGGCCTTAAAAATATTATATCCTTGTCCTGATTGCAGTTGTTTTTACTTTCAAGACATGTTCCTCATTCATCCTTCAGAGGGATACATCAAGCATGAATACAATAGCTCATCTCCCCCAGGGCAACAGTGACTATTGCAGTTAGGATCTTACTGGCTAGATTCTTAATAACTTATTTCCAAGTCAGTACCATTTTCAGTTTCAAAAGATGGTTGCTGTTGGATCAAACTCTACTTCTGGAGAAACCAACATCCAACTTCCTCCTGCTGGTACCATCTCTGTTAGTGCTGTTGGTACAGCCCTCCCTGGCTAGCTCACACCTTGCAGCTCTCCAGCAGCCTCCTGCTGAATGCCCACTTCCCCTGGCAGCACTTCTACCTCTGGCTTCACTTCTGAAGCACTTCTACCAGCAGATTCCTTCTGCAACAAAGTTGACTCTAACACCTTCACAGACAGAGAACTGTAACCATGTTCACTACTAATCTGTTCCAGAATTCAGGCTGATATATCCAGGATACAGACATGCAGGCTTCACTTTTGTGAGCAGAGGACTAGAGAGATAACTTTGACAACACAGTGCACGTTACTCATGTTGTTCAGCTCTAAATTCATTCATTAAACTCTCATGAGTACTCTTCCTATCCCCTTTCCACCTCCTAATTCTATGAGTATTTTCCTTGGTGAGTGCTGCATCCCTTGCAGGAAAAAAACCAAAAAACCACACGACTCCAAGCAAGTGTTCTTCACACCCTGCAAGCCTATGGCTCCTTGCAACAAATTCACAAGACAGACCACACTACAAACCTCGAACTACAGACCCTCTTCTAGCAATCATCTTCATTCCACTTCCTGTGGATCAGCAATGGATTCTTTTCTTAACAGGTGAGTCTACCTCATCTACTCACAGTAAAAAGGAGAGCAAGACCATACACATGTTCTTTGAAATAGTTACAAATGACAAAATGTAATAAACATTTTCTTTGTGTAATAAAATAACAAGTTTAAAGATTTTGCATTAAAGAGCACATAGGAAAGTTCCATCAGAAATGTTCAGCAGAAAAATGTATGTTATACACATACACTTTGCTCCAAACCAGCCTCAATCTATGATCTGTCATCCATTAAAAAGGGTGAAAAAATGTCAAGAATGCTCATGTCCTACTTCATCGCTGAGATTATTATTATTATGCACATTCTCACTGACATAAAAGGTGGCAGACCCACTGACTGCCCCAGAGAAAGCTGAGAAAGCATCATAATTAAAAGATATAAACTGTGGACACTATGAACACAAATATTTTACTTCTTAAATGATGTGATGCAATTGTAAACAAAACAGGTTCTTTTGCAGCAGGTGTGCTTTTAAAAGGAGAAGGGCAGTACTGAGCATTACATTACCCTCATAAATGCTGGATGATCTTTGCAGGCAATATTCTTGCTGTAAATCTTTACATTTCCCGAGATTGTATCAGATGTTCCATTGGAGGAAAAATAAAATCTTGCTTGTGTATCCACTTTTCTGTTCACGTCAACACTCAGATTATAAAGCAGTACTGCAAAATAAAACGCAGGGAAAATAAAAGTTATAAAAACTTTAAGTATTATGATTTTAATGAATTTATGATAGAAATTACATCTTCTGACTGACTCCCTTAAGTATGACCCGTAATATCCATTTTGAAATGCTCCACTTAAAAATTCTGTTTCATGCCTAACTAAAGCTTCTAGACCTCTGAAAATTGACTGCATCACGACTGATCCCCGATACATGCTTTTACATCAGCAACAGTTTTGTCAAGTTTTATTTATAGTTTTCTACCAGAATCTATTTAAAGAAAACCTGCTTCAGTTACTTAGAGGGCTTTTATTAAATTTCAACAAACAGGTAAGTCAACAGACACTGACAAATATTGCTTAACTTCACAGTTTTTTTCTATTTGGGTTAGCATGAATTGCCATGATAACAAATGTATAGATCAGTAGTGCTCTGCAATTAAGTTCACCATGAATATTCCCTCCAATACATGTTGCTTCAAGCAATACCAATTTTTGCCAAAAAGCAAAACATGCATTATATAAAATGTAATACAAAATTATTTTTCAGTAATTTTGATGGGACTCCCTCTGTTTCACGTGATTGCATAACAGTACAATCAAGTGCTTGAGCTGCTCTATGAAGGGAATGTCTTTTTTCTATTGCTAAGTGGGAGACTGCATCCTACAGCAGTCTTGTATGGTTCGGTCCACGTCTGGGAGGGCTGCTTTTAGAAGACATCTGAATATCAGGCTGAATAAACCATTTGATTCTACATTAAAAAAAGACATTCAACCACCATTAATTCCCTACCTAATTGCAAAGCAACAGTTCAGACATTTGCATGTGGGAAGTTAGACAAACTTGCCAGACACTCCTGTTAGGTCCTGTGCAAAACAAAGTATGGTCCCTGGGCAACTATGTACAAGCAAGCCTTCACAGAATGAGTGTGCTCTATTTCTTTGTGAACCCTAACGGCATACTATCTCCTTCAAAAACCTATCAAAGTGACAGAACTCATTATTATGATGCTATGAAATGGACCATCCAAAACAGTATCATTACAATGTTGTTCAAAAGTATGAGTGTGAACCTAACTACACCGCTGTTAGGGAAGTTAATTCAGGCACCAGAATTAGCTGATCTATGACAGCATTGTTTTAGTACTGCTGCAAAACCCATGTGAAAATATTACTAAATGGTTGTGCACAGCCCTAGCTGAACTCTTCAGCGTCACAACCCAGCTAGCTAGCTAAAAATTAGTCTTTGTTTGTCTAAACCATTTGCCATCAAAACTTTAGATTACATTGTTGATGCAATTAGACAACTTGTGGAGTTCTACCTTCACCCTCACAGTATCTCACCTTTTTAACATCACTATCTTTTCTAGGCCATGTAACTCTGGTAGTCCTGCTAGGGATGTGTTCTTATTCGAAATTGAATAAAGTGTAACGGCTCGATGTTATAGGGTAATTATGAGCTAAAAAAGGTACCCATGTTTTTAATTTTTAATTTGATACTGAAATCAGATTATTAGTCCACTAAATACCACTAGCATTATTCTGTAAATAGGTGCATTTAAAATGAATACATATACTGTTTTTTTTCCAAGTAGCTTACCAATATAACCAGGTACCTCTCGTCCTGTATAGGTAAAGCATAACTCCAAATTCATACAGACAGCAGGCTGGCCATTTTCCATGCAGTTTAAATTAGTTCGATTTATTGAATTAGGATGTTTTAAAGAAGCTTCAACAATTATCACTGGTTTCGTTCTAAGAATAGAAAATAGTTATGTTCACAAAACACTTCAGAAATATCTTACAGAATCTCTGCAAAATCTAACAATCTCTGACAGAATCTCTTTTTATATTTTATAATTATAATTTTTTAAGCTATAAGCATTTTTTCAGAATCCAAATAGTTGTATGCACACTATTTGTTGCCTCAAGAAGTTTCAGAATATTTTCTTTTTCTTCAAGGTGTTTACTTAAATGTTTACTTGTAGTGCATTCCAGAGCCTAATGAAGGCCAAGACACAAAGAAGAATATCATGAGGTTAATATACTACTGAGTTTTACAGTTAAATTCTACGGTCTTTAAAAGCACCGAAATGTAGCAAGCTCACCTCAGCACCACAGCAGAATCAGACAGAAATGCACCTACTGCTACATCTGTGGAAAATAAATAAATAAATAAATAAAAAATCAATAACCATAATTTGTCAACAGGAATTACTTCTCAGGTACAAGCATTTTGTAGCATATTTACTTTTTGGTCAGCATTAAAACACCATTTGCCCTTTATTTATTAGAAGGCATATGCTAATGTTCAAAGATGATTCTTCAAATACTTGTCCACTATCCATTAACGCTGTGTGCTAATTTGCTGGACTTGCAGATACTGGTAATGTGATTTCTATTCCACATTTAAGTGGCTGATACTGAAGGGCAATTCAGCTAAATAGGAGCCTTCTTTTTAATCCAAGTATTCAATATTGCTACTCACACACACATAAACAATTCAGTTATATACATAACTGTACACAGTATATATATGAAATTATACATAGATAGATAGAAAAAAATATTTCATTTATTCCAAACTAACTGAAAACTATTCATGCAATAAGGAAAGAAATATTCACAGTCTATATTCTTCTCAAATAAGGTAGCAAAAGTGAATTATCAGATGAGTCTAAGTGATAAAAGGGTCTGAAGATGTGACTCTTAAATCAGTACACAATAGGTGACCTGACAGACTTCCTGTACACTACCTCTTAGCCCAGCACTACAGATTAACCTGGATAACTTTTCTGTTGACACAGCCAGAATGTAGTAACTTTGTGCTTTTACATCCACAGGTGCAGGACAGGCAATACATGACCTGATATAATGCTAATTTACATAATGTCAAAATATTTTGACAATATGTATAAAAAAATTAGTCTATACTTGGAACCAGACAAGTTGTTTTACACCAAATTAGCACTTCTGTGTCATGCCTACAAGAACTCCACAACAATATTAATCCAATGCTGTGAGCCCTGACTCAGGTTAATATATTGTTCACACCGACTGAGAGTCATGGAGCTCAGTGACTCCTGGGAAAATCCAGGCTATGTGAAGATCAGTAAGATTTTTAGGTTAGCACACCTAACTGTCGTCTGTAGTCCAGACAACAAACATGCTTCCAGTACCCAGACTAGTTCATTGTGACATTAACAGATGATATGGCTGCCATAAAAATAAAAATTGTTTTTCTTCCTCTTGTGCACTACGATCTTACTATTAGTCAGATGACTGTGAAAACTGACTGCTTGGCCCCAGCTTTACCTCTTTTATTTTTTTCCTTCCCACACACAAGATGTGACATGTTATCTTAATAACAGATTTGCTTCTGTTGAAAGTAACAAGTAGCATGGTAGGGTTGTTCCCTATGAATCTCTACTCTTTTAGAAATGAAAAATAAACAAAATTGTTTAATTCACCTTGATAACCATTGTTATCTGCATCAATGCCACTTGCTATAGATTGTCCAAACATGCTTAAAGAATTACTGACTTGATGTCCTTGTATTCTCTGAGGATGAAAAAAAAAACAGAAGAGAAAATTATTCTTGGAAAGCTAATCTTTGAGTTACAATTTCCAATGAAAAATTTTAGCACAACCATCCTGTGGCTGAAGGCATTTACATGCTTACCTGTGAAAGTATACCTCTGAAAGTAATATTCCTCAATTATGAGGAATATTATATCCCATAAACCCTTTCTGAGGCCTCCAAAACAATTTATTTTTCTGTTACAGGTTACATTGTGACTGGATATCATAGACTATGTAAAAAATTTCTGAAGTCTTTTACAGTACCTCAGATGGTCTGAGGGTTAATTGAAGGGAAAACTTTCTCAAATTTAAACTTAAGGTTTTTCTGGATTGATTATTTTTCATTGAAAAAGCGCACCTGTGAAAACGATGGCGTTATTCCATCTTCCCTGCCATTGTATATATAAATAACCCCTTTCAGATTATCTTCTTGTGGAGCCCCAATTGCTACATCTGTGGAAAAACAATTTAACAATAATCAGTTGACTAGGAAACATGAACAAGGAAAAGTTAAAGAAATCTAAATCATGATGCACACAATTTATCTGACTGAATTCAGAAGAATTGCTGAAGATGGATATAAAGCAGTCAGAAACAATCCAGACTAGCTCAGTTTGACTGTGTCTTAAGTACCATGTTTCTGGGCCAAATACAGACATTTTGCTCAAGACAAAGTGTGTTCCTACCAATACTGAATTTAACTCTTAAAGAGGTTATCATGGAGAATAGCCAAAATGATCATGGTCTTTTTTTGGTAAAAAAACCCCAACCAACCAACAACAAAAAACCAGATAGACTCGTATGCATGGAATTGTGATGATTTTTCTGCACTCTGCTATTCCCACGTGGATTAAATCCCTGAAACATAAGAAGTACTCTTATTATGCTGACTGAGATGAACCATTTATTTTTATATGAAATGCCCTTAACAACCGATAACAGGCTTGAACAGGCATTTAATAAAGAAATGAAGGTAGCAGGTTTGTACAAAGGGATATGTTTTATGCCTAGACAGTTTAATCCCAGAGGGGTGTGGTGACACATAAACAAATCACCCACCTACCCACCCACTCTCAAGAGCCCTTACCAAAAATCCCCATGGTTCAAATAGCCAGAGACTGTTAACCAGAAAGTGGAGGAGGAGGAGATGAATTACATCATCTTGAAATTCACTAATATAAACTAATAATTGTGAACTTTCCTTCACAAATAAGCAAAACTGAACTATCTGCAAATAGGAAATACTGTATGCTGCACCAAATCACAAGAAAAGCAAAGCTCTGATGATTTGGTTTTACTGAACAATTCTCTGATTGAATCCATATTGATTGAATCCATACTTTGGTGACTAAAACACACAAAATATGTTCTGCCTGTCTACTGGTGAGATGAAAATAGGACAGCCAAGTTGTGCTAATTAAAATTACACATATGTTCTTGAGGAGGTCAGATTCTACACCAACACACACGCCATTACCTTCACAGGGCTGATGCTGATGGTTTAGATCATTGAAGAAGCTGGCTCTGCTGTGCTTTTTTATTACTTACTACAGACAAATGGTTTCTAACAGCGTATTTCTCTTTATATTTTGCTTCCAGCTGTTTTTCTTACAAAATTTATTTTCCTACTGCCACTCTCAATATTGCCTCTGCTTTTTCTTTTCAATGTTTTTGCTCCCTTCAAAAGCTAATCCACTTGTTTGCTCCACCTCCCCCTGCAGTTTTAGGATGCCAGTTTTACATTATACTCTGTCACATATCTACTTTGTTATGCTGCTATTAATTTGATTTTACTTCACTGTTCCCCAGCTCTACAACTGGATACTGTTTTCCTTTGCAGTTTGCAAATGTTTTGGGGCAAAAACTGAAACTTGGGCATTAAATTGTGAAGGTAATGCAAAACAGGAGAAACTAAATTTAACAAGAGTTCAAAGAACAGGTACCAAGTGAGGGGAAAAAAGACTACTTTAAGGAAAAGGAGACCAGACAAGAAGAGAATGACTGTTCTAAGCTTTGCAGGTTACAGAACTGGACCAAGAACACAGACAAAGGGAAGAATGAAAAGAGAACCCTGGATGGTAACGGTAAATAAAAAGGGTAATTCAGAAGCATGAAGAAAGACGTGGACCTGGTAAAGATAGAGCCCAGAAAAAGCTGACAGTTTTTGCACAAAGGTTATTAGTTTCCTGCATACAGTCCAAGTTTTGATGATGGAAAATCTGAAACTGCTTATGAATTTCTGAACAGTAGAAAATACCTGTTGTATTTTTATCCTGTCCCTACACAGCCTATAGTGCCTGCCCTTCTGCTGGAAGGGAGTACACGCTAGTTTTTCAGACAGCAATACTGACCATTCCTATTTGTTTGAAACCATGACAAGATGAATGAAGCCACTGGGTCAGGTCCCCTCTGCCTGTCTTTAGTCTAGCTGGCAGCCTTGCAGTCAGCCATGTTTTTGCAGGCTACTTAAACAGCTAGTGAATGGTCTTGGAAGGAAAGAAGCTGAGAGTGGTAGACCATGGGGCTTTCTGTAGCAAATACATTTTAGGCAGCCTGACTGGAAGCAGAACGGAAGTAGAAGGCCAAGAGAGTAATTCTAGATGTTTTAACACATCTTAAATCCTTTCATCTGTTTTCTAACTAAAATCCCTTTTATCTATAACTTTCACATGGCATTCTCTTTTCAATGTCTATTACTTTTATGCTTATTACAGAAGTTAGATGCAAGTCTGGAGACTGAATCTCTCTGCCCTCTGAGCAGGTTCCATCTGAACAACATCAATGGACATTTCAGCCTGTATCTCATCATATTTAGAGAGGGTGTTTCAGCCTGGGCAGCGGGGAAGGAAGGGATGACATTCTCAGTTTCTGTTTAGGTACCTAACTTTACATGCCTGAAATAGATCCTCCTGTATAGACAACAGGAAGAAAAAGCTCCCTCAGAGCCCATTAACATTTTGAACTCATTACCAGGGCATGCCCATCAAAGTCCTTCCCTGTATTCTCTGTCCTAGCCCCACTGCGAGCCCATGCTAGCCAATGCATGAGTCATCTGAGGGCTTGAGTGGGAAGTAGTCCCACAAAAGTTTTCCCAACTTGCAGGCTGTTTCCAGTATCCCCATATGTTTAGTACTTCCTATTGGTGACACAAAAGTAGATTGTGACTCAATATGTCATTTTATTTATGATATTAAAAAATTGCCAAATTGTTCCCAAACTGTTGCCTCAGATGTCTAAAACAGGATTAGAGATTCCACTTGAGGTGCAGCACCCAAAGTTACAGACTATGTTATCAGCTTATGCTCATGCTTTTTATTAAAGCGACAGAACCTAATCTTTTGGTATTACACATCAATGACCATGAAATAGCTATATTTCAAATTAGTGGCCTAGAAAAGAAAGGTCAAGTCACCATCTGAAAGTCTTCTCAGACTTCCATAATCTTCCTGTTTATCACGACAGTTCACTGCTCAGAAAGAAACCCAAGAGTTTGGGTTTTTTGGGGTTTTCACAGAATCACAGAATGATAGGGGTTGGAAGGGACCTCAGGAGATCATCTAGTCCAATCCCCCTGCTAAAGCAGGTTCCCTACAACAGGCTACACAGGAAAGCATCCAGGTGGGTTTTGAACAACTCCAGAGATGGGAGACTCCAAAACCTCTCCAGGCTTATAATTTTGGGTGTTTTAATATACTTACCTTCAAAACCATCATTATCAATGTCTCCTAGATTCGCTATGGACTCTCCAAACCTGGCTGCATATGAGTCACTCCCGCTAAGCTCTATGTTCAGTTCTACCATCTTTGCTTCCTGAAGGAAAACAGAGTCAATGGCACATTAAAAAAGCATCTTCTGGGTGACCTGGAGTATTACTCAAAAATGTTAAAATTGTTTTGGATGCCAATGTATAATCTCACTGAATTCCTTGGTGCAGAAGCAAGCATTATCAAAGATATTTAACAGTATTTAGTATAAGAACAATAAAGAGTAAGAAAGTTGTTCTTTAAGAAAGATAACAGCAATGTGTTCCCGTAGCGAACACCTGTAAACAGCAGCAAGCTTATATGAGAGCACAGGGGCTTACTGCTCTGCAAAAACTGTGTTTGCTAAAAAGCTAGTAAACAGTAGCTGTTTGTGTCTTAGATGTAGGTATCCTGGAGCAACACGTTAAGAAAATGTTAATTGCAAGCATAAGAGAATAAATATATATTAGTGTGGAGAGGAAGGAAAACAAGATACAAAGATAAATTTATAAAGCCAGACAAATTCAAAAGCACACAAACAATAGCGATTATACTTCCACTTCTGATACTTGAAAAGAATAAAAGGAAGCTAATTCTAATGCATGATCTGTCCAGTACTTTATTCGTCAAACTGAGGACTACCAGTCTCTTTCCTGATTGGTACCACTAACTGCACACAAATTTTTAATTCCTTGTGTGTTTCCGAAGTGCTACATAAGTTGCTCTTCACATGACAGTTCAGCAGTAAGCATGGTAAAGGAGGAGAGCTTACAAAGCAGCTGCAGGGGCCGGCTGTCACCACCTGAAGCTCCTATGAAACAAAGCCAGTCTGTCCTCAGTCCTAACACTAGCGTAAGTAACGATGTGTACAGTTTGTACAGCTAGCCTTTGCAGGTGTGCTACGCAGTCCTGCTGGGACTGTCACTGTGGTTCTGGAGTTGTTTTTTCCTATATCCTGAAATACTGTATGAAAAGAGAGAGAACATATCTTTTTCTTAGCTTGTTACACTAGAATGCTTGTATTACCAGGTGGTTTTAAGAGCAAATACTTACAGAACCTGAATTGATATAGACATAAACTCTTCCTTCTTCTCTGATGGTACTTTGCATTGGAGCACCAACTAGCAAGTCTGAGAGGCCATCTGAATTCAGGTCCACAGCACAAACTGCAGCTCCAAAGTAAGAACCAAGCTGTGTGCAAACAAGAAATCACATTGTTTTTGAATTTCGACAAAGACACACTAGCAGTTCTAAAGTGCAGAAGTGTGAAAGATTTACCTTTTTACCCCGTAGTTCAAACAGAATATTTAGTTGCTTCTCAATGCTAAAAATGTATGCCTAAAATGAAAAGAAAATACAAGTGCTGTTCAGCAAACAGTAATCTGAAATACTTTCCTGTGCTTTCTCTATAGTATGTGCTAAAGAGTCGGGAAAGCAACACTCAGTATCACAAGGTACAACTATTAACTATTTCCTATCTGTACCTTTCTTTAAAACCATAGTTCACAAGGTACAACTATTAACTATTTCCTATCTGTACCTTTCTTTAAAACCATAGTTCACAGCTAGACTCTCTTCCCTCATTCCTTCTTTGACTTTTCTCCCCATGAGAAATCACATATATCTGATACTTGTCTTTAATACATTAATCTAAATTAGAAAAATCATGGCTGGGTAAGTGGGGGTATATTCTTCAAAACAACTGTACAGACAATCTCTTACTTTACCAGTCTGTTCCTGTTGGGGAGCTCCTCCAATTACTTCTGTACTGGCTGATGTCAGAAAATGTCCAGCTCCAACAGAGTATCCTGTAAATTAGAAATTCACTATTCAATACTAGAAATGCTATATAAAAAAAAAAAAAAAGGAAGCATGACGTCCAAAAGCTGTCAACACCACAAATTATTCTAAGTCTGACATTCAGACCTCATGCAAGTTAGCAATGAAAACAGAAAAGAAAATTTTTGAAATATAAGCAAAAGGTCAATACAAACAGTAAGGTTCCATCAAGCAGAAACAAGTGTCAGAGACACTAATTTCTTCCCAGGATCTCAACTACCTACCATACTTTAAAAGCCAATAAAAGAAATAGCAAACACTTCCCTGAATGCATATTCTACAATTGCTCAGTGAGTCCATATTGTGATACAAACAAAATGATCAAACATCCATACAGTGCAATGTCAAAACACTTGATTCAATTGTTAACTCTGGCTGTTGTTGTAACTACACTGCAGAACAATGAAATGCAGTGTTACCTAAATGCATGCACACATATACATACACACGTATATAGAGCACTGTGGATACCCACATATCAAAACTTCAGGAACAAATTGGAGCAAAAGCTTGATTAGGTAATAAGAAAACATTCCATCAGCTTTTGTAAATGACTCTATGCAACAAAGTATTTCAGCACATGGAGACAGCTCTTCAGAAACAGGACCGTGTTTTGGTGCAGCCATCCAGCCACAAAATTACAAACTGAAGGCTAACACCTTAATCTGTAGCTACACAAGTCATCCCTACTCTTTCCAAAATATATTATGGCTAAGCTGAAACATGGAAAACAGTTAACATATTCTGTTACTTTTGCATTTACTGGATGACTGTTGATTTTCACAGCATACAGAGAAAATGGAAAAATCATCTTGGATCAAATGAGAATGAGCCTTAAATCTATAATCTGTGAAGACAACTGTCGAGAATTCAAGTTCTCACTATGCTAACTTTTTCTTTCATACTTTAAGCTAAAAGAGGTGCAGAAGGCAATTTATAATTTAAAAGTCAACATCTAATTTTTACTTATTCAACAAAAAAATAAGCTTAAGTGGATGAACCTTAATTTGCCTCCTCTGATCTTTATTTTCTAGTTATTTTGGTTTTGCTCAAGTGTAAACATTGGTAATTCTAATGAACTTGGGGATTCTTGGTGGGGTTTTTTTGTTGCTGTTTGCGTTTTTTGGTGGGTTTTTTTAAACAAACAAAAAGCCAAATACAGTAAAAGAAAGTATTGTAAAGAGATAGTCCTCATTTTTACTGTGGTATTAAAATGTTTGGCAGGAGGGATCACATAATCAACCCCTTATATTTGTTAATTATTACTCTTAGTTTAATGAAAAATGTAAATAAAGAAGCCAACTTCTCAGTCCTTGGTAGAAGGACAGTGTAAGCAGGTAATTATGTCTAGTCATGTGCTTGAATTACACTCTAGTCACAATATACTTCCACCACTTGGTAAGGATATTTTTGTTCAGTATTTAAGGGAGAGGAAAACTCAGTCCAAAAAAGAAAAAGAAAAGAAAGAAAGGGAGGGAAGGGAGGGAAAGAAAGGAAAAAAAAGGAAAAAAAAGGAAAAAA